TTCAAGATGGTATAGATATATATGGTAATGAGATCTATCGCTCTATGGGGTCTGAAGCGAACATTTCGAGATTTTGCAAATGTAATCAAAGTAATTTATTTGAATAATATTCAAATGCATTTTTACATGCATATTTCGTAGAGAATTGAAGCCTCTTGACCTGCTATCAGAATCTAAAGCCGTTCAGCGTTTGTTTTTCTGTATTTTGCGGTTTTACAATTTGTTAGGAAAAAATAACGCTCAGCAGCTGAAAGCGAACAATTTGACGACAGAAAACTCATTTCAATATGACGAATGTTCTCACAAAAGTAAACATGTGAATAAATTGTAATTAAACACGTTTGGTTATTGCAAGGCATGCGTCATGCAGGAGGGTAGCTGGTGGGGCCCCAAAATGCAGAATGGGCCTTAAAATTTATTAAAATGTAACATTGAAAAATAAATTTAAAAGACGAATGTCTCGCAGTTAGCTGCTGTAGATTAAAATTACCTTAGAAAAATTCTGGCCAAGACTGAAGTCCTTACAATGGATGGTCTAGTCTTTAAGGGAAATAATATTTCAAAAAATTCTCGTTAAATTTCTAAAATATAAAAATTTTATTTTGTACCACAGAATATTCCTCATACAGGGTGCGATAAAAAATTGCAACATAGTCAAAAGCCATAATTTTTACATTTTTTTTTAAATTTTATTGAATGGAATCAACAAATGTCGGAAATAGCATACAATTTTAGAATAAGTTTAGATTTTGTAGATCACCTTTGGCACGAATTATGGCCTTCAAACGGCCAATGAAACCGTCACACGCTGCCCGAAAGTTACTCTGCGGTATTTTGGCCCATTCGCAGCAAAGCGTTTGCTTGATGTGATCGACACTTTGGTATTTTTTAGTGCCAACCTTGCTTTCCAAAATACTCTAAGCACAATAGTCCAACGGATTGGTATCCGGAGATTTTGGCGGTCATTGTGCGCTGGAAATGAAGCGAGGAATCCCATTTTGCAACCATTCTGGGGTGGTGTAGCCCTTATGTAAAGAAAGGTACCCATTGATTTCAGTTATTTCGACAGTTTTGGCAAAATTAGATGGAAAATATCATAATATTATTATCAATGTTAGATCGAGTTCGGACATGGGCAATATCGATCCACTCTTTTTGGTAACTCCCCCACAAAAGGTAGACATTTAAAAAAAAAGAAAATCTTTTACTACACAGAAAGAGGAAGAATTATACGATTTTGCTGAGTGCGATGGTGCTGAGTCCTGTTGGAATATCCAAGGTCTGCGGCCAAAATGTTTGCGTGCCCAAGGCTTTAATACACCCTCCAGAATATTTTCGCGATAATAATCGGCATTTATTCTGAGGCCACGGTCGATTAATACGAGCGGAGAGCGACCATCGGCTGTTATGGTGGCCCACACTATCATCATGGCCGGCGCTCGAGTTCTTGTGGCCAACTGAAGGGGCTGATTTTCGGCTGACCTCAAGTAAACAGGATTATTTTGGAATAATATTAACAGCTGTCGGACGAGTGGCTTAGAAATGACAGCAGTCTAAAGTTGGTTGCAGTATTGTCATCTCACCCTATACTATATACTCTGTTCCAGAACCTGCAAGAATTCACTAGTTTGGGAATTTTTTTCGATATCATAAAGGGAAAATCGATTATCGTAGTAAAAACTTTTTCATTCTCGCAGTTCTGCAACAGAGCAATAATCAGTAGAAAATATTAAAAAAAAAATATTGTAACTCTAAAAGATTTTTTTTCTCTCTCCCTAAAAAATTCACAATTATAGCTGCAGAGCCCTACAAAAAATATTTTCTGCAAGTTCTTCCATCCCAAGAAGACTTGTATTGTGACTAAACTCAGAAGCCCCAACTGTGGAGTTGAGTGTCCCGAAACTACAAACATATCAATAAATTGCTCTAATAACTCATCCAAGTGCCACTGAAACAATTGTCTCCTAATATTTATATTTAAATCCGTCCCTGTATCTATCTCATAGCCGGAGACGTGGACAGCAGCGCACACACACGCACACTGACACACTCGGTAATTAATTAAGGAAATTCCGCTGCTATCAGCGAAATTTAATAACCAGTTGCGGGTACTTACTTCAGACTGAGCAGCCACCGTTCAGAGAACCTTCTTAATTCTAATCTACAACAACAACAAGAACTACACAACAGCAGTAGCAGCATTGACAACAACATCGCACAAGACACTACCAACAATAATCAAAATATAAAATTTTTATTAAAAACAATAACAGAACAAAACAAAAATATGAGAAGCCACAGCGACAGTCGCCGAAGTAATCAGATGTAGTCGCTGCTTTTTTACAAATTTCTTGAATGCCATTAAATTAAATATCGGCACAAGTGAAAAAAAAACAAAACAATTGGAAAATGGGGTAAAGGTAGACAGCTGGAGTACCCTAAGGAGTAAAAGGGGGAAGGGAAGACAAAAAGGCATAGAAATGAACATTTAAAATGAAATATTTAAAGGAGGTCTCTTGTTATGCCAAAAACAGAATCTAAGCTATCAAAGAACTTTGTGACGGCCATTTAGAAAAAAGGGCTATTAAAAGGTATTCCGGTCAGTCGTCAGCAAACCTCAGAATATGTGTGAAACTCGCTCGAAGACGAGCGTGAGCACTCCCCGGAATAGAAAAAAGAGAACTAGCAAATTTTACTTTCGGTTTCGCTCCCGAGTCACTCCTGCTTGAAAAACTTGAGTGAGAGTTTAAGCTCGCCCTTATTCGAGCGAAACCAAAGGTAAAATTTGCTCTTTCGGTTTCCCTCGAATAAGGGCGAGCTTGACTAAATTCCGCTCTTAGAGCAAACTCTTACTTAAACTCCCACCCAAGTTTTTCAAGCAGGAGTGCATCGGGAGAGCTCCCACACAAAACGAAAGACCAAAGAGTAGACTCCGTATAAAACTCCCAATCTTGCGAGCATGTCTCATTCACGAGTGAAAACGAGCAAGTCTGTGCACTGGTCGCCAGTGGCACCTATTGTAGAATCGCTGGCTTGGAAATCTCCGTTAAACATTAGCTTATTACAGAAGTAGCTGATGAGTAGCTGAACTTAATACTGATGAGTAGCTGAACTTCATTCTGTTGACTAGCTGGCACCAGAGGCCATTGCATCGTGGGTAACTGGCCATGGGGACCAGTTAGCGAAAGCAACAGACACATGTTGACAATAGATGGCCCCAGAAGACATCGATGAGAGGTACAGATGCCATTACAGTAGAATAGCCTCAGGATCAAAGTAGCACAACTCAGAACCACTTTTGTATCGCTGAAACTAACAGTAACTAATATAACAGAATGTGGAACTTTAGATATCGCTACTATAGACTAGTTGTTCTAAGTGACTCTTAGTGCCGAGTAGCAGACCAGCGTTGGCATACGCTATTGAACCATAGTCCTACTGCCACCACAAGTCGCTACTACTTTAGAAAACATGTAGTCATATGTCACCACAGGAAATCAGCTCGCTCCAGAGGCCACTAGCGTCGATTAGTTGGTCTCAGAGGCCACTACTGTAAATTATATCATCGCAGAGGTGACTTGCCTCAGAGAATAACTGACGTCGTACCATATCGGTCGAGTAGTCAGCCGAGAGATCGGAATTGTGCAGTAGCAAACTCAGATGGCACTACTGTATTATCTGGCCCGTGAACCACTTTGGGCGACGCCATAACAATTGTCATAATGTCAGACATCAGATGCCGCTACTCCACACTAGTTGTCCTCAGTGTCCACTACTGCCGAGTAGGGGACCACAGAAGAAACTGCTTTAAGCCGGGGGCTAAGTGACATCATAAGTCGCTACAGATAATATGTTAGATGTAGAGCAGATGGTACCAGAGTCCTCTACCATTGATTATTTGGTCTCAGTGGCCACTCCTGTAGAGCAGATGACAGCAGAAGTCACTTCGGCAGGGTAGCTTGCCTCAGAGGCTAACTAACGTTCTAAGTTTCGCATATTTTACAATATCTGTAGAGTAATCAGCTCAAAAATCGCAACGGTGTAGAAGCTGAACTCAAAGGCCACTCTTGTATTAGTTGGCTCCAGAGCCACTTTTGTGACGCTGTAACTAACGACAAAGTCAGATGTCACCGCTATGGAGTAGCTGACCCCAGAGGTCACTATAGTCGATTAGTTTGTCTCAGATTCGACTGCTGTAGAGTAGATGGTCGCAGAGTTTAAAATAGTTGCTCTTCGAATCCCATTGACGTTGGAGTTCGCTTCAATTTTAGAATATCTGTTGTCAAATGTCACCACCATAGAGCAGTGGGTTGGCGTAGTCAGTTCTGCTGAGTGTTTTAATATATCCGTCGTTAGATGTCATCTCTGTAACATAGCTGTCTCCAGAGGTCACCACTATAGATAATCTTAAAGCCACTAATGTAGAGTAAATGGTCTAAAAACAACTGAGGATTAAAAAAACTCAAATGGAAGGCCTCCTGTCTATAGACGTTTCCAAGACTTAAATGAAATGCAGATAATCGACTTTGGTATTTTTAGGCTCTAAAAAGCAAATGTGTGAAATATAGATATTAATAATTAAAAAAATAATATTTTTTTATTTTGTTCTAATATTTTCCCATCGAATCGCTGCTCACCTAGTTCTATTGGCAGCAAAAAGAAAAAAAAACTTTGGACCGGTAATCGATATTAGTAATCATTGCAAAAAAAAAGCTTAAACATGAGTCAGTCATAAAAAAGCGGTTTTGACCATGACGGCACGTAGTACGCTATACATAGGTTTGATTCAAACTTAGAAATGGATTTCAAAATCAACATTTCAATCTAAATTTTTGTAAAATTTTAATATTTTGTGGTCAAGAAGTTTTAGACATTCTACTTTTTCCCCTTAGTTCCGTTGCTGGCCTGCCATGACCTACTGTAGCGTACTTTCTCATTCTTGATATTTATTTACATACATTGAACAAGATACCCCATTCACAAAATAACGAACACAAAACTCACAGCGTGTTGCGGACAGCAGAGACGGCCGCCGAGCAGCGTGGAGACGGACAGACAGACAGACTTTAGAAGACTCAAAGCACGAAATGACATTGAAAATGCTTTCAGTCAACAAACAACAAGACAAACGTTGAAAACGCTTAACAGTCAATAATAATATCAATAATAAAAAAATTAATAATAAATGTGAAGCTGTGGCGCTAAGGAAATAGCCAAAAAATCTAACAACCACAACAAACATGGGTAACGTTCAGACCCGCAATTTGGATGCCAAGTGTATCCCCCAACGTCGCGGTAGCATGTATTGGAGTTTCCGTTACTCCTCGACGCGTCGCAGTCGAGATGCCAAATCGATGACGGTGTTTAATTCAAAAATGGCAATATTGGAGTGGTTGGATCTACTCGATCTGAGGGAGTATGAAAGTAGGTTTGCAGGTGTGGATTATGTGAAATATTTACGATGATGTTGACCTCTTTTCCTTATAGACATCTTTCGCATATATTCCTCCGTGGATGATTTATTGGATTTAGATGATGCCACACTCAAAGAAATGGGAGTACGCCGTACCGAACATCGTTCGAAAATGTTATCTAGTTTGGTACGCGTTCAAGCGAAGCGACGTCAATCGGTGAATATCGATGGTAAGTTAATGAAAGGTGAATAATCAGAAGAATACGTCGAGAGATAAGAAGTATATTTGCAATATACTAAGACAGTTCCACCTGGGATCGGCTGCCCTAAAATAATGGTTAATCTTGTGAAAAAAAAATTCTATGGTTTCTACAGGGTGAGAGTAGCCAGAGGACACTGCTATGGAATAGCTTTTATCAGCGACCTCAACCGTAAAATAGCTGACATTACCCAACAATTTTTTTAAGAATCTGTTCCTAGTTGCCACTACAGTAGGGTAGATGGTGTTAAGGGTCCAATTGTTTAATATCTTGCCTAAGAGGCCACTATTGCGGTGAATTTAACCAAAGAGGTCCCTATAATCAATTAGTTGCCAGAGGGCTGTCAAAGAGCTGGACTCATATGCAAATACTGTAAAGTAGCTGACCACAAAGGTCGTTGCTATAAAGGTGGTGGCCTCAGAGTCTCTCTGACCAGCTACTTTACATCAGTGGCATCTAATAGCAGCTACTCCACAGTAGTGCTCACTGTTGTTGTAATCCAACCAGCAATGTCCTCTATTGTCAGCTGGTTTACAGTATTGATCCACATAAGTAGCCAGCTAAACTACTGCGGTGCCCTCTGCAGCCAGCAACTCGACAGTAGACCATGTGATCGACAATGTTGGCCTCTGCGGTCAGTTTATCTGCAGTAGTGATCTCTATGATCAATTATTCCACAACAGTTCTCTCTGGGTCCAGATACTGAACAGTAGTGGTTCTGTCCAAACTACTTTGCTGCAGTGGGCTTTTGAGTGCTGCTACGATAGTAGTCTCTGGGGCCAGTCACTATACGATTGGGACGTCTGGGGATACCTAATAGAAATGCCCTTAGAAGACAGCCATTCATTGATAGTAGCCATTGGAAGCCACCCACTCTACAGCAGTGAGCTCTGGAGCCCACTACTCTCCAGCAATTGACTCTAGAGCCAATTACTCTGCAGTAGTGGCCTCTCGACAGTAGGCCACGTGATCGAAAATGTTGGCCTCTAAGGTCAGTTTCTCTGCAGCAGTGACCTGTATGGTCAGTTATCCCACAACAGTGCTCTCTGGTTCTAGATACTGAACAGTAGTGGTCTCTGTCCAAACTACTTTACTGCAGTAGGCTTTTGAGGTCTGCTACTCTACGATAGTGACCCTTGGGACCAGCTACTCTCCGATTGGGACGTCTGGGGATACCTAACAGAAATGCCCTTAGAAACCAGCCATTCATTGATAGTAGCCATTGGAAGCCATCCACTCTACAGCAGTGAACTCTGGAACCAACTACTCTTCAGCAATGTTCTCTAGAAGTAACTACTCTGCAGTAGTGATCTCTGGATCCAACTACTCTGCAGTAGCAGCCTCTGGAGCCAGCTACTTGACAGTATTACCTCTGACGCCCGCTACTCGACAGTAGAGGATTCTAAGGCCAGCTACTCTACAGTAGTGGACTCTGAGGCAACAGTAGGGCCCTTTGATGCCACCTACTTTACAGTAGTGGTCTCTGAGGACAGCAACTCTTCAGTAGTGGCCTTTGAAGCCAGCTACTCGACAGTAGTGGCCTTTGAAGCCAGCTAGCGACAGTAGTGGCCTCTGAGGCCAGTTTGTTAACAGTAGTGACCTCTGAAACCAGCTAGCCAAGTGTAGTGGCCTCTGAGACCACCAACTCTATTGTATTGAGGGCTGACGCCAGCTACTCGACAGTATTACCTCTGACGCCCGCTACTCGACTGTAGAGGATTCTGAGGCCAGCTACTCTACAGTAGTGGACTCTGAGGCCACAGTAGGGCCCTTTGATGCCAGCTACTTTACAGTAGTGGTCTCTGAGGCCAGCAATTCTTCAGTAGTGGCCTTTGAAGCCAGCTACTCGACAGTAGTGGCCTCTGGAGCCTACTACTCTATAGAAGTGGCCTCTGAGGCCAGATGCCTTAGTAGCCTTTGGAAGCCACCTACTCTATGGCAGTTCCCTCAGAGACCAGTTGGTCTACAGTAGTGGCCTCTGGAGCCTACTACTCTATAGTAGTGGGCTCTGAGGCCAGATGCCTTAGTAGCCTTTGGAAGCCACCTACTCTATGGCAGTGCCCTCAGAGACCAGTTGGTCTACAGTAGTGGCCTCTGGAACCAACTACTCTACAGTTGTGGCCTCTGAAGCCAACAACTCTACAGTAATAGCCTCTGGAGCCAACTACTCTATAGTAGTGGCCTCTGCAGACAACTGCTCTACAGCATTGGATTCTGGAGCCAATTACTCTACAGCATTGGACTCTGGAGCCAATTAATCTATAAAAAAGTGGCCTCGGGAGATAACTACTCTATAGTAGTGGCCTCTGGAGCCAACTACTCTACAATAGTGGCCTCTGGAGCTAACTACTCTACAGTAGTGGCCTCTGGAGCCAACTACTATACATTAGTGACCTCTGAGGCCAGCTACTCTACAGTAATGGCCTCTGAAGCCAGCTATCCCACAGCAGTGGCCTCTAAGACTATATAGCGAGTAGTGTAGTTCAACTAGAATATATTAGAGGTCTCTGCAGCCAACTACAAACCAACGGTGGCCAGCTACTCTATAATAAGGACGATTGAAACTGCAATTACTCTGCGGTAGTGACTTCTGTGCCCAACTACTACGCTGTAGTGACCTTGAACTTTGCCATCTTACGCCAGCTACTCTTCAGTAGTGACTTTAGAGTCTTGTCCTGCTTCTCAACTGTAGATGTCTCTGAGGCGTTCTAATTTACATAATCGTCCTCGTCTTCGCGTTTCCCTATACATAGTTGATTTTCTGTTCAAGACAATTGATCTGATCACAGAACCTGTAAAAATCTGCAATTTTCCATTTTTTTCGATATCGTACAGCGAGAATCGGTTATCGTATTAAAAATTGTACATTCTTGTAGTTCTCGAACAGGCCAAATGTGTTTGTTTCAAAGTGGACTATTGCAATTTATTTTATGACCTGTAACATTTTATTTGATATTCACAGCAAATGAGGTGTGAAGAGAACGCATTTGAGTTTTGTCTTCATACCATAAACGTAAAAGTAAATTTATCTTTACGCTGATAACGCTAATCGCATTCTGGTCGATTTATTTATTTCGCATTTGCATTTTGTAGCTTCTCGTAACAGTAGCGTTTCTCCTTCTATGCAATTGAAGCGAAAGAATTCATGTCCAGCCATTCGTACGGTGGGTGCGGAAACATTGGATACCGAATTGGATAAATCGATTTTAAGAAATTCCATGCGTGAAACAGGACGGAAAGTTAATAGCCCCGAGGAAAAGAGGAGATTTACATTTGGTGAAGCGGATATAATGTGAGTAGATATGAGATGTCCATGGCATTGCTTTACATAGGGTGCCGTGAAAATTTACTAAAAATAAGAAATAACAATAAGGATGTTGTCATGGTCTATATAAGGTCAGGTAAGAAGACTACTTTTCACAAAAACTTGACCATAAACTGAATGGTTTTGGCATCATTGGAATTTGACTTTTTGACAGCACAAATTTAGTAATCAGAGGCTGACCTTATATAGGCCTTGAAAGTTGTTTGAGAAGAAATTTTTTATGAAGAATTATGCTAAATATTTATCGAGGATAATGGTTTCCAAGACTGTTTCTACTGGGGTAACATTTCGTGAGCGTATTTCAATAAAGAACCAACTTCGTATGAAAATTTATAAAAAGAACATTTCCTTGATTAGCCATACAAGTGTTTGTGGTACAAAAACACAAGAGATTCCACTTAAAAAAGAACGTCATCTTATGATTCATTAAAAATATCAAACATTTGTCATTAGTCACTCCTCCTTCTACTTCTTCTCCTTGTCGTCGTACCCACAAAAAAAAAGAAACATAAAAACAATTCATCACAGGATCAGTGTACATAATTGCTTACCAGGATCATAACATTCAAAGAAAACAGAATTTCAAATAAACAACAACGGCTGCCACACTTGACAACTCATTGAGTTGTAACGTTCGCCTCAAAAGAATAAATACCGACCCGTATCCGTACAAAACACACAAAAATTACCAACCATTTCAAAGGACATTAAACACACCCCATTGCCAGCTTCGACATTTGTTGATGGGCCATCGGTGATGAAAAGTCATAACAATGGATTTGCGCATGCCTAGGAAAATTGTTACAGACACCACTCTCTGTGGCACCTTTGGGAGAGTATAACAAACAAGAGAGAGAAAAAGAGAGTCTTGCGTTTTACTCTCTCTCTTTCTAAAATCTGCCTTGTGTTTTTATCCGGCAAAAGTGCAATCAACTGAAAGAACACCCAAAATGGGGGGTTGAAATCCAACTCTCAGGAGCGAGGATTTACTCATGTCCAATGTAATTATACGAGGGGTAGGTCTGCCAGATATAGAAAAATTATTAAAGAAATTTCTACGGATGAAAGGAGGCCCAAACGTTGCCTACAGAGAGGAGAATTATGAAAGTATTCTGAGCTCCCAAGTAGTCTAATATATAGAATATTGAACACCTCCTGAAGGTATCCTAAACATAAAGACCTTCTGAAGTTCTCTCTAGAATACCTTCTGAAGGTCTCCTATGCATAGAATACCTTCCCAAGGTCTCCTAGAGATACAAGGTCTCCTGAAGATCTCCTATAGATGGAAGAGTTTCTCACGATCTTCTATAGATGGAAGACCTTTTGAAGGTCACCTACGGATAAAAGATCTTCTGAAAGTAGGATATAAAGAAGGCCTCCTTCTAAAGGTATCCTATAGATAGAAGACCTTCGGAATGTCTCCTATGGATAGAAGACTTTCGGAATGTCTTCTATGGATAGAAGATCTTCTGAAGGTCTGTTATACATAGAGGGCCTTATGAAGATCACCTATACATAGGAGACCTTCTGAAGGTCCCCTATAGATGGAAGACCTTCTGAAGGTCCCCTTTAGATAGAAGACCTTCTGAAGGTCCACTACAGATAGAAGACCTTCTGAAGGTCCCCTATAGATAGAAGTCCTTCTAAAGGTCTCCTGAAGACAGAAGACCTTCGGAAGGTCTCTTATAGATAAAAGACCTTTTGAAGGAATCCTATGGGTAGATGACCTTCTGAAAGTCTCCTATAGATAAAAGGCCTTCTGAAAGTCTCCTATGGATAGAAGACCTTCTAAAGGTCCCCTATTGATAGAAGACCTTCTGAAGGTCTCCTATAGATAGAAGACCTTTTCAAGGTCCCCTATACATAGAAGGCCTTCTTAAGGTCTCCTATAGATAGAAGTTCTTCTGAAGATCTCCTATAAATAAAAAACCTTCTGAAGGTCTCCTATGGGTAGAAGACCTGAAAATCTCCTATGGATAGAAGACCTTCTAAAGGTCTCGTATATATAGAAGGCCTTCTGAAGGTCCCCTGTTGATAGAAGACCTTCTGAAGGTCTCCTACGGATAGATGAGTTTCTGACGGTTTCCTATTGATAGATGACCTTTTGAAGTTCTCCCTTAGATACAAGACCTTCTAAAGGTCTTCTATGAATAGAACACCTTCTGAAGGTCCACTATTCATAGAAGATCTTTTGAAGGTATCCTATACATAGAAGATCTTCTGGGGGTCTCCTATATACAGAAGACATTCGGAAGGTCTCATATAGGTAGAAGACCTTCGGAAGGTCTCCTACAGGTAGAAGTTCTTCACGATGTCCTCTATCTATAGGAGACCTAAGGATAGAATAACGTATGAAGGTCTGAGGATATCGAATTGAAAGCAGACCTCCTATCTATAGGATACTTCCTGTGGGTAACAAGCCTTCTTAAGACCTCTTATGCAAATCGGATTTTCTAAAGGTTTCCTACGTAGAAAAGGTCTTTTCTATGTCTCTGTATACAAAAATCCCATAGAAGATCCATGGAAGGTTTTCTCTATTGAAGTCCTATTTCCTCTCCCTCTTTTCACCCACCCTCGTAAATTTAATTCCCTGCAGACTCACTAGCCTAAGGGAGTGTAATGGCCTTTATGCAAATCTAATTATACGTGTATGAATGTATATGTGTGTGTGTGTGCGTGTAAGCCACTTGGAAAACCAAAATACAACATCTGAACGGCAACTCAGAGAAGTTCAACAAAAACAGATTGAAAATGCATGTCCTGCAGGACACAAGTCCTGAACGGTTGTCGTACGGTGGTGTTTTTTTTTTTTGGTTGGTGTTGGTATAGTGCAAAAACTCGTTAAAAAGAGTATCAATAGATACGGCTTTTGAAGTGGAAGAGAATTAGAAAAGACGGAGAAGAAGAAGAAGCATCAGCAGTGGTTGTGAAAAAAAAACGAAGTAAAAAAGGAAATTTCTTGGGCTGGGCCGGGCGTGAAAAACAGAAAAGTTGTAATTTTTTATAGATAATCAAAGAAAATATTGAAATAAAAGTAACAAAAAAAAAATAATTTGAAAATCAAAGAAATCAAGGAGTAAATTTTTCGTTTATGAAGGATGCAGTGTTTTTCATAAAAAAAAATTTTGAAATAAAAAGTAAGCCAAAACCTTTCGAGAACAGATACATATTGGACCTGCAGATTTAAAAAAAAAAAAAACAAAAAAAGATATTTAAAAGGACATTTTTTGTGAAATATGGAAAATATTATCCACTAACCCACAGCTGTGTATATCCCAGGTGAAAACAAGAAAATAAATAACCACCTTTTATTTTGCAAAATCATTGTTTCCAGTTATGAAGAACTAAGGCGACGTAACAGCACCACCTCTGACAAGGGTGAAGAGAAGCCATCAGAAGAAGAAAATCAAAATTCCTCATCAACAAAGACAGCATCACAACCCAAGATGGATAATGAAACCTCATCAGGATGTGGTGGCGTCGGAAGCGGAGGCAGTGGCTCCTTCAGTCAACCATCCTCATTGATTGGCCCCACCACCATGACTCCCAATGAACAACAGGAGGTTATGGCTTTGAAAAAAGCCCTCGAATGGGAGCTGAGTTTGGATTCACGCGATTTACGTTCCCATGCCTGGTATCATGGACCGCTACCACGGCAACGTGCCGAAGAGATTGTACAGCGTGAAGGAGATTTTCTGATAAGAGACTGCACCTCACAGCCGGATAATTATGTTCTTACATGCCGCACCAAAACATCTGTTCTGCACTTTGTAATCAATAAGGTGAGTTTTTTTGAAAAAGAAAATGGAATGAAGAGTTTTTCTGAAGATTAAATTAATCCTCATCACAAATATGACACATATTTGGAGATAAAAATGCACTTAATAGACAGTGTGGGAAAATGTGGGTTTTCCTGTGAGAATCCTGTAAGGGTTTTCGATGAGGAAAATTATGGAGATTTTAATGAGGAAATGTTTATTTTTTCCTTTGAAAAAATCTATGAGGTTTTCTACAAGCAATCCTATGAGATTTTCTATGAAAAGACATTTCAGATTTTCGATGAGAAAATTCGCACAATTTTATGAGAAAACTTATGAAGTCTTCCGTGAGATGAAAACCTATGCAGTTCTTTGTCAGTAATTCCCTGGAATTTCTATGAAAAAATCTTCGAAAACTTTTGAGGTCTTCTATAAAAAAAAACAAGTAAAAAACCTGTAAGTTCGGCCGGGCCGGACCTTTAATACCCTACACCATTTGGAACAAATTTGACAATTTTCATATTAGGGCCTATGCTACGACGTGGACCTACATAAGAAACTTTTATCATAATCCATTAAAATATTCGAATGCAAAATTTGAAAAAAAAAATGGGGAAAATGGCTCTAAAATCATAAAAATATCGAATATTGGGAGGTACCATTATATGGGGGCTATACCAAAACGTGGACTTGCACAGACAATTTTCTATCATAGGCTTTGGTATCCATTACGATCTTCAAATACCAAATTTGAAACAATTCCGGTGAATATTGTCGCTAAAATCATCAAAATACCGAATATCGGGAGGTACCGTTACATGGGGGCTATTCGAAGACGTGGACCTGCACAGACAATTTTCTGTCATAGGCTGTAGTATCCATTACGTACTTCAAATATCAAAATTTGAACCATTTCCAGTGAAGAATGTCGCTAAAATCGTCAAAATACTGAATATAGGGACGTACCGTTATATGGAGGCTATACGAAGACGTGGACCTGCACAGACAATTTTTTGTCATATGCTGTGGTATCCATTATAAACTTCAAATACCAAATTTGAAACAATTCCGGTGAATATTGTCGCTAAAATCATTAAAATACCCAAAAATAGGGTGATAGAATTATGGGGGGGCTATGCCAAAACGTGGACCTACATGGTCCATTTTCAATACCAAAAATCCTGCAGATATAATATATATTTGAGTAAAATTTTATCAACCTATATTCTATAAGGATATTTTCTAGGCCTTTTATGAGAATATTTTTTGACCATATGGTCCTTCTGTCATAAGACCTTATGAGAAATTTTTAGGGGCAAATGTCCGGTGGAACATTTTTCTTGAAGGCGTAAATATTATTTTCGCAATATACATTCCTTACTATGACCATTAAAACCCTTAATTCAATTTCCAACAGAATTAAGAATTTCTTCCTTTAAAGGACTACACTAATTTTCTAAAAATTCAGGACAGTATTTCCGATAATATTTCTATCAAGACCCATATAAATTTTATGAAGCGGTCCAACACTATTTGCTTTGAGGACCTCAATAAAATATAATTCAGAAGCCCACGACTGAGTACCTTGAAAGCATTAAGGAAATCTTATAATTTCTTTCAGAAGCTAGAGGATTTTCCTTTTTTTAAGTCCCCGCTATCGTCTCCAGGGTTTTCTTCCTCCACGCATAGGGACATACTTTTTTGGATTCTTACTTGACTATCATCCATCAAAGTCTCAAGAACTTTCCTAAGCAATGCTCCTTAAAATTCTCCAGAATTTCCCGAATTCTTCTTTGAAACGCTCTGCGAAGATAATTTATGTTCCTTGAAGAACTCTAGAAATTTTCTAAAAGGCAATTCTCAATTTTTATAACGATTTACAGGAATTTCTTCAAAAGGTCAACAGATGTGTTTCTTGAAAGAATCGAAAAATTTTCAAAAATATTTTTTTTTTGAAGAAGTTTGAAATTTTTCTAAAAGACCGGCAATTTAATTATGTGAAGGCTTTAGGTTATTTTAAAAAATTCAAATTGTTCTTGGAATCAGAATAATGTCATCGAGAAAGGCTTTTGAAGGCCCTGAAGAATTTCTTCAAAAAGTTCTCAAGAATGAAACTTGGATTTTGCTACAATATGCAAGATAATTCTCCTTGAAGTTCGAAAGTCTAAAACAATAAGTTATTATTAATGAAGCTAGGAGGCCTGCAGGAACTCCTTAAACTCGCAAGACTAGTAATCGAAGTCATAATGGTTTTTTTTTTGTTCTTTGAGTTGGTCTAGTATTCCGTGATACCCTTTAAAAATCCAAAAAAAAAAATATTTCGTTTTTTCAAGTCCTGTTGGGAAAAACACGATCTTATTCATAGCGCGACGTGGAGGCCTATAAAATCTCATATAGCTCTCCAAGACTTCCTCGAAAAAGTACAGAGTTATGTTTTTTGAAGGGCTGTGGGATCACTTGACATCCTCAGAGAATATCCTGTTTTCGTTTAAGATAGCACTTGGATTTTAATGAGGAAATTTCTTAAAAAAGACCTCGATAATGTCGCTTGGAAGCCTGGAATAGTTCTCTGGGAATTATCTACTTTGGCATATTTTCAAGAAAAAATATTCCTGGTGTCCTCTGAAATTTGCTTAAAAAAGTCTTGTATTATGTTCTCACAGGGTGAGAGTATCGATAAAATGCTTTGCCATTTGCTGTAAAAGAATACACAATTGTTTTCTCCGAAGTTCTTTAGAAACATTTGGCAGAATTTAATTCCTTGGAAGCCTTCGGAAAATTACTAAAAAAATTAAGTCTTGTGAAAAGCCTAAAAATGTGAAGGCTTATCCGGTAAAGTCCCATATTTAGTTTTATTAACAAGGTTTTCTCGATGACCTTTTAATGTTTTCCACAGCATTCTAATGTTATGAGTCCTGAAATTTTGACTTTTTTTTTTTTGAAGACCTCTCCGAATTTTTTAAAAACATCAAATATTTCGAAAAATGCTGGACTGTATTCCTTGTCCTGGGACATGTTTCGTAGAGAACTTTAAGAATTTCTTTTAAAAAATTTCCACAAAGATTCCTATAAGTTGTTATATATAGTCGCACAAACCTGCTTCTACATAAGAGACCTTTAGACAAAATACGTTTGCCTTTGGAATTCTTACAAGGAAGTTATGGAGAAGTTTTAAAGGGAAGGGGTATTGCACCTATAGGAAAATTGAGTAGGTCTATGGTTTTGATTTTTCGATATCGAAATAATTATTTCCAAAAAATATTTGTTCATTTCAGATTTTGGTACAACCAGAAACAGTTTACGAGCGGGTGCAATATCAGTTCGAGGAAGATGCTTTTGATGCCATTCCAGATCTAATCACATTCTATGTGGGTTCGGGTAAGTTCAACATTCTGTTTTCATTAAATTCTGGAGACTTCTAAAAATTTACTTTTTTCTCTTTAGGAAAACCTATTTCACTAGCATCTGGGGCACGCATTCAATATCCCTGCAATCGCCACTATCCCCTCTCATTCTATGGCCATAAAATTGTCGGCAATCATTTGCATTCTCAAATGTTGGCAGGCCTACGCGGTGTTAGTCCCCTCAACTCACCGTTGGCGGCCAATGCAGGTTTTCGTTTTACCGGAACTCCCATGGGCGGACAACAACAACAGCAGCAACACAACATGTTGCAACATCAGCAATCACTGCCCACCAGCATTGGCGGTCAGATGTCAGCAAAACAACCCGAAAGTCCCATGTCTTCACCACCAAGAAATAAGATTTATCCAGCCCCAAGGCTGCCTTCAAAGAAACAACGTTCCCAGAGTCTAACCCCGGCCCAAGCCATTGTGGTGTCGAATATTAAAAATGCCGAGGCTGGCAACAGTGCAGATGGCATGATTCAAGGAAATGGCGAAAATGGTACCTCTTCGAATGGTGGTTCCATGACTCATCTTCACAACAGCAATAATCATGGTTATCGTCCGGAGGTCATCGCGAGGCGTTTCAATCAATTGGAGAAAAGCAATAGCGTGTGTGGCTCGCCCAATGATGGAACACAGCTGCATAGTCATTTGGAGAATTTGAGCATACATGGCAAAATTCCGGCAAATGGTTTCCAAACCATTGCCCGCTGTACCATGGGAGATGTGGTGGATCATCAGCATACCAAGTTTACCACCCACTCGCTGCCCCGGCCAGCAACCAATAGTTTTAGGGGTAATTTAAATAGGACCTCTAGCCTGGCCCGGGATTTCAATGTAGACAATGGATCGTCGAATATGTTCTCAAGTTTGGAAATAAGTAAGATACCGGAGTTGCCAGAGAAGCCACCAAGTCCACCACCAAAACCGAATCGCAGCAATGGTGCTGGTGTTGGTAGTATTAGTAGCCTGGCAAGACTGCCCAAGGAGGGTGGAGTAATACTGGATCAGCAATATCCCCTGCAAAGGCAGGGTGGCATGGCTGGAATTTATCAGTTAAGTGGTTCCGATTCGGGTAATGGTTCGGGAGATTCCATGCCGGGGGATATGAATGAGTTTATCATGCATCGTGGGGTCATCATCAAGAATCCACGCTTTATGAGCAGTTCCACCTCATCGGCCACACTCAAGAGTTTGAGTGAATTTGATGTCCAGGCGGCAGAGGATTTGTTGTTTACCCTGGAGATTCCGGAATATAAACCCGTAAGTGGGGAAACTGTTGCTGGTAGATTTAAAATTTTAAAGAATTGTTTCTTTTTAGACCTCCAAGTTTGATGTGGAAAACTTCAGTACATTGCTGCTACCCTCCGTGGAGAATCGGCCCTTGGATGGCGATGCTTTGAACACCTTCAAAATGATGCTACTCGAAACTGGTCCCAAAATGTTGGCGGAGCACATAACACGCATTGATATTGGCCTAATGATAGAGGCTCCATCAACCGCGATGGCCGAGGCAGAGACCCAAAATGAAAATGATAATCGCAATATTTTGGATTGCTGTGGCCTGGAGCTGCTGACCCTACCCCAGGGTAAAATTTTCCGTCAAGATTTGGTGGAACGTACCCAGTGTCTAAAGCTAATGGTGGCTGTGACCATTCTCACCTGTCAAACGGACTTAGATCGAGCCGAGTTGCTAAGCAAATGGATCCAGGTTGCTGTGGAAACAAAGACAGCACTGGGAAATCTTTTTGGATTTTCATCCATTATGCTGGGCCTGTGCATGCCTCAGATCCAAAAGTTGGATTCCGCCTGGCATTTGTTGCGTCAAAAATATACCGATGATGCTTTCATGTTTGAGGCCAAGTTGCGGCCAACATTGATAAGCATGAATGAGTGTTCCAATCCCCAGGCGCCAAATACAACAGTTCCTTATGTCCTGCTCTATGCTTTGCTCAAGGATCGTTCAGTCATGGATATTTTGAATTTCAATAACTCCACGGAGAAACCGTCGCTTTACAATATGTGCATCACTGCGTGGGAAAGTAAAGCCGATGATTTTGGCATGTACATCAACTATGCCCATTTGGATTCATCGCGAAATTTCCTTAATAGTCTGAAATTGTATCGCAAAAATGCCAAAATAATGCTGGAGGAATCCATATCGAGAATGGATGAATTGTTGAGCGATGCTTTTAGGTGAGTGGAGAGAGTATATTTTAGAATAAGGACCAAAAAAGAGAAGAAGGATTTTTAATTTTTTAAAGGACTTTCAGAGCAATAATCGTGAGTTTTTGAGAATATATTTTTAAGGACATTCATAGCGGTAAACTTAGATTTTTAGAGAACATTTTTCCAAGGATCTGTAGAGCCCCAGATGTGGATTTTTTAAAACAATATTGTCAAGGACCTTTGGAGTCATTAACGTGGATTTTTGAGATTATTTTTAAGAAAAAATGTCAAGGACCTTCAGAGCCACGAACGTTGATTTTTAGAGAATATTTTTGAAGGACTTTTAGAGTCATTAACGTGGGTTTTTAAGATTCTTTTTGAGAAAAAATTGTCAAGGACCTTCAGAGCCACGAACGTTGATTTTTAGAGAATATTTTTGAAGGACCTATAGAGCCACAAACGTGAATTGTTTTTACAATATTTATTCAAGGATATTCAGATTCACAACCGTGGATTTTTAAGAATATTATTTAAAGACGATTAGCACCACTAACCCGGATTTTTTAGGAATATTTTTTGGAGAGCCATCGGAGCCTCAAACGTGGACTTTTTAAGAACATTTTTTAAGTACCGTCAGAGCCTTAAACCTGGATTTTTTAAGACTATTTGTATAAGCACCTTAAGAGACATAAACGTGGATTTATGAAGAATATTTTTTCAAAGACCTTCAGAGCGATGAACGTGGATTTTTTAATAATGTTTTTTCTAGGACCTTCTGAGCCACAAACGTGGAGTTTTGAAGAATATTTCTTTAAGGATCTTCAGAACCATAAACTTGGATTTTTAAAGAATATTTTTTTCAAGAATCTTAAGAGGCATAAGCGTGGATTTTTGAAGAATATTTTTTCAAGGACCTTCAGAGCCACAAACTTGGATTTTTTAAAAAATTATTTTTCAAAGACCTTCAGTTCCTAAAAATGGATTTTTTAAAAATATTTTTTTCACGGAACTTCAGAGCCACAGACGTGGATTTTTTAAAAATATTTTTCAAGGACCTTCAGGGCCATAAAGGTGTATTTTTGAAAAATATTTTTTCATGGACCTTCAGAGCCATAAAGGTGTATTTTTGAAAAATATTTTTTCAAGGACCTTCAGAGCGATGAAAGTGGATTTATGAGAATATTTTTCAGGGTACCTCAGAACCACAAACGTGGATTTTTGAAGAATATCTTTGTAAGGACCTTATGAGTCACAAACATGAATTTTTTAAAGATTATTTTTTCGAGGACTGTCGGTCCCACAAACGTGCATTATTTAAGAATATTTTTCAAGGACCATCAGAGTCACAAAACGTGGATATTTAAGAATACTTTTTCAAGGACATTCAGTGCCACAAATGTGGATTTTTTAAGAATATTTTTTTAAGGGCATTCAGATCCATAAACGTGGATTTTTTAAAGTCGATCAGAAGCCCAAACGTGGATTTTTAAAGTCGATCAGAAGCCCAAACGTGGATTTTTAAAGAATAATTTTCAAGAACCTTCAGAACCACAAACGTGAATTTTTAAAGAATATTTTTTCAAGGGCCTTCAGAGCCACAAACGTGATTTTTTAAAAAGGACCTTCAGAGCCACAAACGTGATTATTTTAAGGACCTTCAGAGCCACAAACGTGATTATTCTTAAGAATATTTTTTCAAGCACCTTCATAGTCACAAACGTGAAGATTTTAAGACTTCCTTTTCAAGGATCATCAGAGTAACAAACGTGGATTTTTGAAGAGCCACAAAGTTGTTTTTTAAGAATACCTTTCCAAGGATCATAGGAGGAACAAAGGTGGAGTTTTTTAAATTTTTTTTTTTAAGAATATTTCTTTGGAGGACAACCTGTGCCTCAAACTTGAGTTTTTAGAAATTCATACTAAAAGGTCACGAAAAGTTCTAAATTGTTCTGAAAATTGAATGCTTTTATTGGTCAAACGGAATGTGCTAGAATTCTGAAATTTGGAATGAGAATAACTTGTGAAGAGCAAGATAGATATTCCAAAGGGGTTATGGAAATTCGAATTTTATGGTTAGGAAAAGTTCTAAAGTGGTACTTAACTCCTAAAACGGTACCATTTGGTATTATGTAAATTTAGTATGAAAATCTAAGTCCCTGGTCCCGGTCGGTGGTAGTTTTTGATAAGGAGTTCGGTTTGGACATTTGTACTACAAGTTCATGAAAAGTACTAAATAGTACTATATATGGTACAATTTGATATTTGGGTGAATAGACATATGATATATATATTTGGTAGTCTGGACATATGGAGGTGGAACTGCGTACTATAATTGAACTAATGGTACAAAATGGTACAAAATTTGGTTTTGGGTGATATTCAGATTACTGGTTCAAAATTTGTACGGAGAGTACTAAAGAGATAGGGCTGGAATCCTCAAATTTGATATTGACGACTCTGTTGGTATCTGGAATAAAGATATGAAGATGGTTTTAGTTTAGTTTAATTGGGAACTGTTGGAACGAAAAATTTTAAAGTGGGCTTTTCGCTGACGATGTAGCTGCCAATTGGTAGGTTTGAATAGTATTTTTAAGAAACTGAAATTGTCGGTCACAAAACAAGATTTTTTTCAAATCTTCTTTCAACAATATCAGGTTAAAACCGACGTTTTTTAAAATATTTTTATGTTTTATTTTTAAGATTTTTTTAGAAGTGGTGTCCAAGGAATATCAGTGATAACTCCGTTGATTTTTTTAAATATTTGCCAAGGAACATCAGGGTTAAAACCCCTCATGTAATATCAAGGACATAGTCGTGAATTTCTTCGAATAATGATTAAGGAACATCAGGGACAAAACCGTAGAATTATTTTTCAGCAGTTGTTTTTTAAGAATTTTTTAAGGAATACCAGGTTTAAATTTTTTCAATGAATATCAATCAATCGTTGAATTTTTTGAATGCAATAAAAATCTGTCTTTTTATCTTTCCAGAACGGAATTTCACATCAAATTCCTGTGGGGCAGTAAAGGCGCCACCGCCACTGCCGATGATCGCCACTCGAAATTGGAAAAAGTCTTGGCCCTAATGGCTGATAAATTTTGTAATGCCGATACGAATGGATCAACTAACACTGCCTAAGAAACCCCAAACAAAAATACTGCAGACATCCCAACACAAAAACCAAAGCAAAGAAACCCTTTTACAAAGGATTATATGGTATAATTATAAGGAGAATAACTATTTATATTGTGTATAAAAAAACCAAAGCAAAAACAAACATTTGATATGAATCAAGCAACTTTTTTACGGCCAAGGCTTAAAACAAACCGATAACAGAACTTTGAATCAAAATTTACGATAGACAGACAGTGAAACCCCGGAAACCAATTTTTTAATATTTTGAAATGGATTTTTTTGTGAATTACTTTATTTTGTTGAAAACCGATAAGAAAAAACTACCTCAACAAAAATAAGATTAACGAAAGTCTGTTAGGCAGCCTCCCTCTTCTCATCATCGCCAACACCGACAAAGAGAACAAATCATCATGATGTGTAAAATAATCAAATTGAATGTTAAGGTTAAAGGTCGGGGTAGGAATCTTGCTGCAGATCGTATAAAATATACGAGAGTTACAAAAAATGCTCCTCTCCTCTACCTTAACTTCATTTGCTTATCTGTCATTCTGTGAAATGAAATAATCCCCAATTGGAAAGAAAATAACCATTTAGTTTTGGCATTTTCATTCATATCATTAGTTGGTACTTTTTGTTAAAACTTATTATATAATTTAAAAAATTATTATTTATATATTATTGTGATCTAAGTACAACGTTCATAGTTATGTCTACAAAGAAAGCAACTTTTGTAAATGTATCTAATTTTTATCTATCATCGAATACTCATCTTATGTTATCCAACTAATTCTATATAGAACATGTCTGGTTTATGCAGAATCCTAGAGATGCTAGAACACATGTTATAAGATACTATATATTTTTGCCTGCAATACCATACGAAATTGTATCAATTAAGTTGAAAAATGTGACTCGTATCTTCAAAATACCAACAACTAAAAAAGCTGTAAGTTAGGCACGGCCGAACCATTTGGAACGAATTTGGCAATTTTCAAAAAACTAAAATCCGTTAAAAATGCTGTTAAAATCTTAAAAATATCAAATGTAACCGTCATATTAGGGTCTAAACGACTACGTAGACCTGCAAAGGCAATTTTTGTCATAAGCTATTACAATGATCAAATGCGAAACTTGGAAAAATTCGGTGAATAATGTAGCTAAAATCATCAATATAGGGAGGTACTATTACATGGAAGCTATACCAAAATGTGGGCCTGCACTGAGAATTTTCTGCCTTAGGCTGCAGTATCCATTATGAACTTCAACTGCTAACTTTGAAACAATTCCTGTGAATAATGTCGCTAAAATCATCAAAATACCGAATATCGGGAGGTACCGTTATATGGGGGCTATATGAAGACGTGGACCTACACACACAATTTTCTAACATAGACTGTAGTATTCAAATATAAAATTTGAAACAATTCCGGTGAATAATGTCGCTAATATAATAAAAATACCGAAAATCATGAGGTACCGTTACATGGGGGCTATATCAAAACGTGGACCTACATGGCCCATTTTCAATACCAAAAGTCCTGCAGACATAATATACATTTGCGTAAATTTTTATCAATCCACTTTATTTCGTTCGGAAGCTAGAGTGGTTTCCACAGACGGATAAACGGACATACGACATAGAATTTAATGCTGATCAAGAATACTTTATGGGGTCTAAAATGTATATTTCGAGGTGTTAAAAACGGAATGACAAAACTTAATATACCCTCCATACTATGGTAGAGGGTATTATAATTTAAGGATTCCAGCACTTGAGGCCCCAAATTTGAACTTATGGAAGTCATTTACTTAAATTTGTCAGCTCTCAACCGATATTCTTCAAATAATAATTTAAATAATTTAGTAATTACTAAAATTTTTTAAAAGTTTCTTAATTTTTTGTCACTTCCCGGATTAAAAAGCAATTGGAGAAATTCAACTTTACAATATAAATTTTGAAAATTTAAAGATATAATATTCGTATATAATTTCCTGCATAAACATTTTATGTTCTATATAGAATTAAAATTTAAAAATTGTATACAAACACGCAAGCATATATACGTTGTAACATATAAATATGTCCATACATACATATATTTACCTGTAATCATTGATATCAATTTTATCAATTATTTTATTTCATTATATATTATTATCAAAAAACTCAGTTGTGTAATTTTATCTCTCGTAACACATTCCCAAATCGTTTTAAAATTTTGTGTATTTTATACAGAATTTTGTTGAAATCTTTTTTTATATATAAGTAATTTATTTATTATCAACCACAATTAGGCTAGAACTTTATACACTTACTATATATACATACATATATACTTAAATATATATATACTAGAATAACAATCTTGTGCTAAGTATTTCATATGAACTCCACTTCAAAACTATCAACTTAAGATCTTTGACAAGAAATAAAAAAATATTTATATATACAAAAATTATATTTTACACAAGTCCGAGTGATATTAAATATTTCGGAATTTTCGCTTTTATGGAGCCGAAATGATAGTCATAACCTCCATTAGAAAAAGGAGTTAAACACGATTTAAAAATTGGTTCAAAATTACAAAATATATTCCTGATTTATATTAGTCAATTATAATTCCCACAAGTGCCAGATTGTTGGAGAGAGAAGCCAAGACAAGACTACAAACTGACCCTTGCTGCATTTATAATTGTTAAATATAAATGAGGAGATTTTCACATGGACAACTCAAATTTTCTACAATTGTAAAGGATATTATTCGAACACCCCCACTGAAAATGCAGACGAATCATATTCATAACGACTTCCCTATTACAATATTTTTCTCTGTAAGGAATAAAACTTGAATTAAAAAGCTATTTTTTAAATCTCTTTAGCTTAATCTGCATTCGTTCTTTAATAACAAATGTTCTCTATCCCGTTGAACTTATTCGTTCTGAAACTTCTTCCTTATAGGGAAGTTTGACTTTGTGTTCTGGTCCCATTTAAGCGAAACCTATAACACCTCTTCCAAACACACACACCAACACACACTTATAAATATAAATATTTATCTACTTATAATTATTATTATTATGTTTTATATTGGACAATATTTAGTAATCAAACGCATTTACATAGCATTTTTACCAAAACAATTTATAAGGTAATAGATATAATGAAATAAAAAGCAAAATACCAAAAAAACACACAACAAAAAATGGAAAAACTATTTGTAATAAAATAAAAAATAAATAAATATCAATGCAATAAATTGGTGAAAATTATTATGAACAAATTGAATATGCCAGGGATGTGAACAGAAATACATTTCAAAACCATTTACGAGGAAACTCAACTAGAAAACTATTAGCTTTCCCTTGTAAAATGTGCAAAACATAACAGTTAATAGGCTTTTTTTGACGACATTGTGAGATCTACAATGTTAACTAGCCTCCTCTCATGCAATAATTCTCTGGGTCTGATTTTCTCACTCTCTTCTCATGATTTCTCAACACATCATTTTTGCACATACGCACGAACACACAATTAACCATTGCATACGGGTAAACGGGACAACATAAACGACAACAACAAGGCATAAAACCGAAGCATATTTTAATGTTCCCCGAAAGAAACTTTGCAAATTGATTTATTAATACATTTCTTTTATTTCCAATAAACTTTATTTGTAATTTGCATAATCAAAACACTAAATAATACTTTGCAAGTAGAAAATAAAAGATATTTTATCTTTCAAAGTGTTAAATTCACATTTTTTTGAGCACGAAAGGAAATGCACAACCGAACGTAATGAGATAAAGGCGCGAACTGATTAGCGAATGAGAGACAGATGTCATCAAATGGGATGACAAGTGCATTAGGGTTGCTCTATTTGCCCTATTTAACGACTCTTTTGATTCATGTTGGGATTTTGTAATTAGAGTTAAATATAATGGGCTTCTGAGTAAACAAAATCTAAATGTTTAGTATGAAACTCTTGCAAGTGATTGAAAAATACGATGGGGGATGTTTACAAATTTACTAGCAGATATTTTTCTTATAATTTTTAACAAAAATAATAATAAAAGAATTTAATTTTAGTTTCCTGAAAAGAAACAAATGAGTTTTGGGCACATGAAGTCGATTTTTCTTCGGTTGCCGAGAGACAATGTCTATTTGGTAATTTGGACATTCAAATCGTAAGTGGATTCAGAATATAAAACGATTGAAGAATTACTGGATAACACAATTTTAACCAACAATTTTGGTAGTAGAAATAAAATTGATAAAAATGTTTGAAGAAAGAATATCTAATTGGATTTGTTTGTTTGAAGATTGAAGTTAGATTTCGTCAAGTAGAATAACAAGTACATCAAGGTTGACTTTTTCGAAGTAATTGGAGTAAATAATGAATTCATGAGGAATAATTTTGGGTTAAAATTAAAAATTAAATAACCCTAAATTGTTTATTAATAATTGTTGTACGTAAGTAAGTGGAGAAATTTTGTTACTCCCCAAAAAACTGAGGGTATTACCAGAAATTGGTAAAAAAAATGTTGAATGCGAAATGAAATGTTATTCAAAGGACTGAAGAAATACTTGTAGGCACATGAAGGAGGTCAAGTTATGTGGATCAAGGAGTGGGTGTTTAGCTTTTTTTAAATCCTTTTATTAATATCACAAGAAGGGGAAACGTATACAGCAATTTTGGTAATTATAGTTCATAACAATGAGGCTTGCCAAAAATTTGGATTTTGGGAGGTTTGGTTTCAAAATACCCTAAATAAAGTAAAGTCCAATTGGCTTGATTTGAAAAATTTGGTCTAATTGCTTAAACGAAATCCCAAAGCAGGGACTACATAGATAGCTGGCAATATTCTCCGTCATAAAAAACTCTTAAATAGCGTAATAATTATTTCATAGGAACTCTAAAATCTTTATTATTATTGACTTAAATTCGCAAAACCTACAAATTTTTCCATTTAGGTGAATTATTGCAAGATATTGTGAATTTTAACAACTTGAGAATTGTTTGGTGCTATGTGAGGATCGTGATATATTTTACATATATTTTGGCACAAATGTAAACGCAACCTGATTTTTTTTATTAAAACAAAATTTTAAAGACATTACTTACCTTTATTTCACTTCCAATGACCGTTATTTATTTCTTAATTTCTTATTTCACACTTTAAATGTCTCAAAATCTAACTAGCCACCTCTTCATGCGTTAATTCTCAGTGGCATCTTTTCTCACTCTCCTCTCATGTTTGCACACACGCACGAACACACAATTAGTCATTGCAAGAGGCAATCGAAATAACACAAACGGCAACAACAATGCATAAGGCAGACACAATGCACCATAAGAAGCACTTTGCAATTTGATTTATTAATTAAATTATTGACTTTTAATAAATATCATTTGATATTTTGGTAATCTGGATAATAATTAACACTTTGTAAGTAGAAAATATAAGATATTTAATCTTTTAAAGTATTAATTTCACAATTATTTTGGGAATGAAAGGGAAAGCACAACCGAACGAAATGGGAGAAAGGCGCGAACTGATTAACGAGTGAAAGGCAGATGTCATCAAATGGGATGACAACTGCAATAGGGTTGCCTTATTTTATGAATTTTGTGATTTTGTAGTTGGATTAAGAAAAGTGATGGTCTTCATACTGAATTAAGCTGGTCCATGTAAAAATTGAATAATTATAATAAATAATTGTTGTAAATGAAAAAAATATACCCGAAAAAAGTCTGAGTATTCGAGAGAAGGATTGGAGACAATATTTGAAGGCATTGGATTACCTACATATTTATTTATTTACTTATTTATTTATTTATTTTTTTTTATTTTTTTAATATTAGTCGTTATCCAATTTTTTTACTATGAAGATTGAAACGAGTAGTTTCCTTCAAATTGGAAAAAAATAATTTAACAAGATTAAAATATTTTTCAAAACTCCTATCCTGCCAGTACCGGTTTTTTTTATAACAAATTTGATCAGATCTGTTTTATATTTTATTTATTTATTTAAATTCTCTTAAAATAAAACAACAATAAAAAATATAAGGAAATATCAGATCCCTCCATCAGGATGCTCCATTTTCAACCATCCAATTGCGCCTTATCGTCCAGCGTAATGTGTGGATTGGTACCCGGTTCTTTACGATTTGTCTGCTCATATTCCAGCAAAACCAACGAATTACGACCCTTGTGTAAAATTTCCTGAGGAACATACAAGGTGATTTGTGGCCCTGCCAGTGGCCAATAGCGTCCGATATTAAAACCATTTACAAAGGCAACACCTTTACCCCACCCCGAGGGATTAAGATAGGTGTGATGTTCCTCCGTTACAACAAATTCACCATAGTAAATAACGGGACCTCGATGAAGAGATGCCGTCGTATCATCTTCCATAAATGACAAACTATTATTTTGTACCCCAGTCAAGATATCTGTTACTTGAGGTTCCTCCAGCGGGAAGGCGGTGTTTAGCCAGTCATTGAGAATTGTTACCTTATCGGCATTAAGTGGCTGCAGGGTAATGGCACCCAAAATGCCTTTTGTGTCATTGGCAATGTTGAAATTAATGCGTCCTTGATTTTCCACAAGCAGTTGTAGTTTCGAGTCGTGTAGATCATTTAAGGTTATGGAGAAGTTGGCATTTTGTCGGGACAAAATTCCCTTGAATTGCTGGTCTACATAGACCAAGGCACGATCCCGTAAGTCATTGAGAGTCAAGACATATGTCTCGCCCGCAATTATACCTTGGAGACTTGTCTCATAAAGTATCAAACCAGAATATTGATCCAACTCTTCAAAGGTCATGGGTTTTAGAGAGCTGCGCGCCTTTCCCTTGGCCAAAATGGCTCGGGCCTCTTGCGACAGTAAATTCATTACGGGGGCCATTTCAACACGTCCATAGGCAAATGATTTTTCTGGTACTATCTCAATTTTGGGTACTTCGCGAAAATCTCGTATAACTTCACGAATCAATTCGAATTTCTTGGTGACATTGCCCATTTCATCCATAACGGCGTCATAATCGTAAGATGTAATGTCAGGGGTGTATTTTGAGTCACCAAAATCATTGGCGCCAGCGGTGAAACCGAAATTTGTTCCTCCAAAGAACATGTAAAAATTCACATTGGCTTTGTATTCCAGAAGTTTTCTGGAAATAAAGAAAACTTCGTTAAAAAGACGAATCTCAAAAATCATAGTATTTTCTTACCGGAAACCCTCTGCCACTGACTTGGGGTCACGTCTCTGATTTTCCTCCTGCCAATGGGTCAACCAACCAGGATAAAATTCGGAATTTACCAATGGCCCAGTGGGTTGTACAGATCTCAAAATCTTCCAAAGATTGTCGATTTCATTAACTACAAAAATTGTAAAAATTAAAAATATAAATTTCAAAATTTTGGAATTTTCACTTACCCCTATCAAAACCAAAATCTATCGTCGCGAAAACCCCCTCAATTTTGCCACATTGAATCCGATCATTGGGTATATCGGTTGTAAAAAGTAAGGCATTATCTTTAACATATTTCCTTGTCTCATCCCTCAGCCAATTCAAATAGTCATGATCACATGCATAAAAGGCTCCATATTCGTTTTCCACTTGGACCATTATAATTGGACCCCCATTGCCGTAAAGGAAACGTTGAATGCGTGGCATTAGTTTCGAATACCACACGGAAACTTCTTGAGTGTAGTTGGCATCATTGGTGCGCATTTGTATGCCGGGATATTTTGTGAACAGCCAATGAGGAAGGCCACCCTGGAAAAGGAGGAAGGGAAAGACAAAAAGTGAGTAGGTAAAGGCATTATTTTTTGAGATGATATACATTATCTCTCTCAGCACATATAAAGGGACCTGGACGCAAAATGATATAGAATCCTTCGGCTTGGGCCAATTCTATAAAGCGTTCCACATTTGCTATGTCAGTCCAGACATATTCACCATCGTGGGGATTGTGCAAAGACCATTCCACGTAGCTAAAATAAGGAAGCAATAAAAAAATATAAAATTAAAATTCTCCGAATGTATACATAAGTTCGGGGTCAAGCCTTTACTTAGAAAAAAGGCAATTTAGACAGATTTTAGACCCCAAAAAGTATATATATATATATATATATATATATATATATATATATATATATACTATATAAATTCTATAAATCGATTTAAAATTCTATATCGATTTACCGATGTCCGTCCCTCTGTCCGTCTGTGGAAATCACTCTATATTCCGAATGAAATGAAGTAGGTCGATAAAATTTTAATTAAATGTATATTACGTCTGCAGGACTTGAATTGAAAATGGGTATTGAAAATGGATCATGTAGGTCCACGTCTTCGTATAGCCCTCATATAACGGCACCTCCCAATATTCGGTATTTTGATGATTTTAGCGTCGTTATTCACCGGAATTGTTTCAAATTTGGTATTTGAAGTTCGTAATAGATACTAAAGTCTAAGGCAGAAAATTGTCTGTGCAGATCCACGTCTTCGTATAGCCTCCATATAATGGTACCTCCCAATATTCGGTATTTTGGTGATTTAAGCGATATTTTTCACCGGAAATATTTCAAATTTGGTATTTGAAGTTCGTAATGGATATTACAGCCTATGACAAAAATTGTCTGTGCAGGTCCACATCTTCGTATAGCCCCCATATAATGGTACCTCCCAATATCAAGATAGGACAAGACAGAGTAAAAATATGGCAACCCTATGAAAATACCTCTGTTGTTACGATATCATAACAACATAGTTACCAATGTTAACTGATTTAAACCGCTAAGCCAATTGCATATTTTTGGAAAGGTCTATGGAATAAAATTTTGAAACCACATTTTTTGATTTTTCAAACTTTTATTTGTCTTTGGTTTTTGTAATTGTGGTTTTTATATTAACATGTTTCTGGCATGAGCTGTTACTCTATGTATTGTAGACACAAACCATTTGCTCAAAATGCATTTTGTCTAGTCTTTACCATTATAGGTCTTTGCCAATATTCGGCATTTTGTTGATTTTAACTTCATTAATCACCGACTTTTTTCAAGTTTCGCATTTGAATATTGTAATAGCGTATGACAAAAGTTGCCTATGCAGATCAACGTCGTCGTATAGACCCTAATTTTAACAGAATTTTTAACTGATTTTATTTTTTTTTTTTTTTTTTTGAAAATTGCCAAATTCGTTCCAAATGGTGGAGGGTATTCAAAGTTCGGCCCGGCCGAACTCACACCTTTTTCCCATGTTTTTGTATCAGTCTTACATTTGTAGTTCCCACCGTTATTGTCATTCTCTCTTTCTCACTCGTATTTATAACTACTATCTTCTTTGTTGTTTACATGCATTCGTTAATTTGTTTATGTGCTTTGACGAATGGACGTGGTTGCCATGCTGTTGGAACATTGTACAATAACCCGGAATGTAATTCCCGCTATTTCCATGTCTAGCGACGAGTTACAAATACGAGTGTGAAAATTTTAAAGATAATTTAAATAGGCAAACACGCTAACCGAATCCCACGCACTAACATCGAAGGAGGGGAATTTGCTGGAATCACTTCACTCTACTCTACAACACATTTATGAGAGTTCTTCATACAAAGATCTCGATGAATTGATCTCGCAATAGACCAAACTAACTCGATCCAGTATTTCCATATCATACTTTTATTCTAGACCTCCACATACCACACTTCTCAATTCACACACACTTACTATATGACAAGATCCCCCAAACTACAAAAATTTAGCAACACATATTAATAGGTTACCTATTATAATAAACAATGAACGTATTGAGAGGCGAGTTCGGTGAACTTTTTTATCCCACTTTCGCGACCGGACAAATGGCCGCCTAAAGCGTGCGATTTAACGTCTTTAGACTATTTTTGTGGGGCTGTGTTAAGTCAATACTGGCGAGCCCGCTTCAATTGACAACATTGAAGCATTTTTCATGGGATACCGGCCAAAATGTGGGATTGAGTATTGCTCTGTTTCAGAACTGCAAGAATTTAAAATTTTTTCTTGGATAATCGATTTATTCTTTTTATACCCTACACCACATAGTGGTAAGGGTATTATGTCTTTGTGCATTTGTTTGCAACAGGCAAAAGGAAACGAGATAGACCCATAGTTCCTTTTGATGATCTGCATAGAATCACATTCTGAGTCGATTTATGCATGTCCGTCCGTCTGTCCATGTATTTTTGTAAAAAAAGTACACTTCGCATTTATTGCCCTATCCAGATGAAATTTTGTGCAAATCATTTGTTTGGCCCAAGGACGAACCCTATTGCAGATAGGAGATAATCGGTCAAAATTTAGATATAGCTCCCATATATATCTTCGTCCGATTTGCCTTTTATTGTGCACCAAACGTGTAATATCCGCCCGAATAGTATGGAATTTTGCAAATACAACCAAATTAGGCCTGTAAATAAGTATGCCACATTTGGTCGAAATCGGTTCAGATATAGGTATAGCTCCCATATATATTGTTCATCCGATTTGTTATTTTTGTCCCCCCGCAGCCTCTGTAACAACAATATTTGGGGAAATATATTAAATACAGCTCAGAAATACATTTGCTAAATTTTATCGAGATCGGTTCAGATTTGGATATAGCTCCCATATATAACTTCGTCCGATTTACCTTTTATTGTGCACCAAACGTCTAATATTTGTCCAAATGGGATGGAATTTGGCACTTACGACCGAATAGAAAGTAGAAGCTAGTATGTCAAATTTGGTGAAGATCGGTTCAGATATAGCTATAGCTCCCATATATACAGTTCATCCGATTTGTTATATTTGTTACCCACAGCCTTAATATGCACTCCGTAACAACTATATACAGGGAAATATATCAAATACAGCTCAGAAATATATTTACCAAATTTTATGGAGATCGGTTCAGATTTGGATATAGCTCCCATATATATCTTTATCCGATTTCAAATTAATTGTGCACCAAATGGACAATACAAATCCAAATTTAAAAGATACAAATGCTGAGTGAATTCTCTCATAAAAACTTTTAATTGTTATGCGCAGCTCTACTAAATTAGCAAAGTGATGTAGGGTATCATAAAGTCGGCCCGCCCGACTTTAAGACCTTCTTTACTGGTTTATATTGAAAAAATTGCAAGACTAGTAGATTCTGCTGTGCTGCTTATTGAAAAGCATGTGTAAAAATTGGACTGAACGGATGGACGGATGGTGCAGTTACAATCAACATTTACATGAAATAATTTTCAAACATTAAATTTTATGGACCGTACTACCAATTTATTCAGATATGTTTCTGAAGTTTATTTGTTTTTTTTTTTTTTTTTTTTTTTTTTGACAAATATTTAATAGTTCCTAAAAAATCCCACTTAGTGTGTAGATTCTTATTTTGAACAAATCCTATTTTTGTTTAGCTTCGGGGATTTAAACAGCATCAACATGGGTTTGGTTCCACCCGAATTACCTATAGCTAATATATAGCCATAGGTTTGTAATTAGAGTCCCTGATTCCCAATTCTTTTCATATAATATTCAAATCGATTAAATTTTGTTTAAAATTGTTACTTACGTTTCGATTGCATTAAGTCCAGCCGCCTTCATGGTGCGTAAACGTTTCTGCCATGCCCTGGGGTGAGCACGGAAATAGTGGAAGGATCCCGAAATGTACTGAAATGGTTTTCCATCCAAGAGGAATGTGTTCTCCTTATGGTCGACCGTAAAACTTGGCTTGATGACATTCTACAAAAGAATGGAGATTTAAAAATCAATAATAGATTGTAAAATTTGTGTGGAAATTATTGAAACAAAATTATTTTCTTTAGCGCAATTGAGTTGGTATTTACACCGTTCAAAGTTTTCTATCGGATTAAATTTCGTCGTCTGTTATTAAGTTTTTGTTGCAATATTTTTTTAAGTAATTTTATTTTTACATTTATTATTCTGTTAAAACAAACAATATCTGTCAAGACGTACAGTTTTTTATACCCTCAGCCATATGCCTATGACCATTTGAAACGGCCAAAACGTGCCTAGTTATTTATTTTGAGGAATAGTTGTAATGCTCTAGTAACTCATCATCTGTTATTCCTTACTGTGTGAAAGACAAATACCTCAAGAGCCCTTGACATTGTCGGCGAAATTAATTTCGGCTAGTACAACTCACCTTTTCTGTCATTGTTTATTGATTTATAATTTCTTAACCTCTTTTGACAGCTTTTTGACATTTAATAAGTTAATCAGTCAATAGAATATCTTCTCGAAGTTATAAATTATGTTAGATATTAAGATTTCCGATTAGAACAAACCCTTTGTCCGGAAATTGCCCCGTATTTGTATTTATTAGTGTCGTAGGTTATGTAAAACTTTCGAGAATATTATTCCTCCACGGCAGCCGATATGGATTTACTACTTAATGGGCTTGATACGATTTATTATCCGGCAATTTCAAAACAAAGCTATCTCTTTTCGTGGGGGCTTAAAGATATGTCTGCCTTGTTGTTTGAATCCTCAATAGAGATAATACATTGTAAAATGCATTAAATGTCTAAATGACGTGTGAATTGTTTAGAATAACAAACGATAAGATAAGTTAAATGTTAAATATATATTAAGCACTTTTGTGATATTTGATTAAATAAATTCAACAAGAATATAAGAACAATAACAAATTAACAAACAAACAGAAATTATTGAAGTGCATAGAATGATAGAATGATCCAGTAGATCATGTCACACAATAAATATTATTGGAGGAAGAATGGGCAATATTTCATTTTTGCTCGAAGGACCAAATATTAAGAAAATAATTTATTTTCCAAGTCGACGAATACCAGATGTAGGGTCTACTTGAATTGGATAATTTGTTCAAGATATTTCAGTTTTCATATATAGTACACATTATTCGAGATGTTAATACTCCATTATTCAAGGCGAGATATAGAGAGGCATATGCGGATACATTAAGCAATCTGTATACATATGTATTTATAAAAAAAAAAAAATATTTTATTGGTCGCTAACATTCAAAAAGGGTAGCACCAAGTAAAGAAGAGACGGAACCCTCGCCAGAGAGCTATAAATTTCGGACCTCTTCCTGCGTAATATGAGCGCCGTATTACACCCACATTCATCAAGTGGATTCGTAGAGAAACAGGTTGTTGGGGGCTATCTGAAACTCAAAGAAACAGGTATTGTGATGCAGCGATTTTAAGGAATGTAGAGTTTAATTTCCAAAATTCATTATCTTTACGGTACAACGGCATTTATTTTCACCACCGCATAGTTTAAGACGTCCTCTGCCTCTAATTCGGTACTAAAAGTCTTTTTTGGGGTGTTTCCAATCTTAGTCGGTGTACGGATGTACGGGGTACATCCGATGAGGTGATATTTTTACAGTAAGATAGTTTGGTATGTTCCCTTTCAGCCCAATTTTTGCAAGGATGTGGTCTACCTAACTATTAAGACTATAAAATATGAAGTTACAGCCACTTCGTCTGGAAGATGTGACCAAAATATCTGATGGTCCCATGACTATATATGTCACTATATATGTGTACTCAAATCCATGGCGGTTTTAAAGTGTAGAAAAAGATCTGGAAAGAGCATTTGAGCTCTTGACAAAGCCTTTTCTTTGGTTTAAATGTCGATCCACATTTTGGTATATCCCCCGGTACCGCCTGATTTGGAAGGTTTTGGTCCCAATTTTTTTATCGAAATCAGCCGCAATTGCACATTTTGAATTCTACGTGGGTAGATTTACTCCTCGCAAAAAATATTCAAAGTAAGTCCACTTTTTCGTATGGCGCCCATTGAACGGTACCTCCTGATTTTCAATATGTTGAAAGTTTCCGACGCAAATTCTCAAACAAAATAACTGCAATTCAGGTAGTTCGGCCGGGCCGAACTTTGAATACCCAAAAAAAAAAAAAAAAATAATAAATAAATAAATAAAATCCGTTGAAAATTCTGTTAAAATCTTAAAAAACGAATGTAGCCTTTATATTAGGGCCTATATGACAACGTGGACCTGCATAGGCAACTTTTTTCATAAGCCATTACAATATTTAAATGCGAAACTTGAAAAAAAATAATTCGCTAAAATCATCAAAATACGGAATATAGGGATGTACCGTCATATGGGGGCTATACCAAAACGTGGACCATGTACAGATACTTTTCTGTCATAGGCTGTAGTATCAATTACGAAATTTAAATACCAGATTTGAAACATTTCCGGTGAATAATGTCCCTAAAATCATTAAAATACAGAATATCGGGAGTTCCCATTATACGGGGGCCATACGAAGGCGTGGACCTGCACTGACAATTTTCTATCATAGTAATGGATACTACCATTACGAACTTCAAATACGAAATTTGAAACAATTCCGGTAAATAATGTCTTTAAAATCATCAAAATACCGAATATCGAAAGGTACCGTTATATGGGGGCTATACGAAGGCGTGAACCTACACAGACAATTTTCTGTCATAGGCTGTAGTATCCGTTACGAACTTCAAATACCAAATTTGAAAGAATTCAGGTGAATAATGTCGCTTAAATTATCAAAGTACCGAATATTGGGAGGTACCGTCATATGGAGGCTATACCAAAACGTTGAGCTACATGACCTATTTTCAATACCAAAAGTCCTGCAGACATAATATACATTTGAGTAAAATTTTATCTTTGTGCGTGTTTTGATTTCCCTTAAAAATATTCGTTAAATCCTTCCAAACTTCCAAATTTTAGAGATTTTTTTAGGGTAACCGATTACGTCCTAAGTCAAGTTTTCACATGGTGTAGGCTGTAAATAGTTCAAACTGGTCGAACTCTAAGTAGTTTTTTTCTTATTTCACTTAATACCACAACCAATATTTCCGATGCGATTTTTTGTCACAATACTTTGTCCATTTCCCACAAAATTCACTTTTTGATTCCTAGAATATTTTTTTCTCAGATTTTTACAATATTTATATTCATAGAACACTTTTTCCAATACCATATTCTCTTATAAGTTGTTTTTCACAACAATGTCACAAGCACAACCACAAAAAACACCTCTTCTCGCGACAAACTGCATTTACGAACTACTTTTCATGGCCTAGTTGGCCGGTGGTTTCTTGCTCTCATCTTCATCATTATCATCTTACACACTTACTTTATCTGCCCCGGTATAACGCAGAATAAAACAGCCAAGTATGACAACGATTAATGCCGCCGCTAGACCAGACACGACCATGGTTAAAACGTCTCTGCAATGGACTTTCATTTTGTCATTCGAGTTCGAGTGCTCTCCGGAAAGCTTTACTTGAATTAATTAATTAAATCAAAGCTTGGGTTGTTTATTTTTGTTTGTTGTAATGTTTGTTGTTGTAGTTATATGCTTCTAGTTTTCTGGCTTCTCCAACACTTTATGGGTAATGCGTTGTATGTGCCTAGTGGCCCCGTGAGGTTAACTGCCGTCGTAGTTATTTTGCTAATGTTCAATTAGTAACTACTACTAAATTAAGCGTTTCTTGCCCGCTGGAGCTACGCTAAATCAATGTCAATTTATATAATAATTTTTGTATTGGACTGCTGTGGTTTTTCGACGGCACTTTAAGTGTATGCACTTATTTGGAGTGTTGTGGCACTAAACTTGGAATACTGATAAGATACGCGGGAAGAGACAACTTGAAAAGCCAAAACAAAACAATCCAACATCTTTATTGTACCACTTGAGAAAGAAAAAAAAAAAAACAAACAAAAAATTAGTGTTACTATGAATAAGACTTACCTCTACCTATAGCAGAAGTAATATTACATATTCTCCGTATATCGGGCATACTACATATATGCGATGAAATACCTTTTATAGGTTTTTCTTTCTCCGATAATAGTAACTTCTATCCGTAATATACCGTGATATACCGCGATATCGTTCATTCCTCTATTCACAACAAACCTTTGGTGAATTCACTTCCTTTTCGTTTGAAAGTCTATAAATAACAAGTTAAAATCAGTAAAGATAGTCTTAAGGTCGGACGGGGCTGAGATATTTCTGAGCTGTATTTGATATATTTCCCTGAATATCGTTGTTACGGAGTGCATATTACGGCTGTGGGTAACAAATACAACAAATAGGATGAACAGTATATATGGGAGCTATAGCTATATCTGAACCGATCTTCACCAAATTTGACATACTACCTTCTAGACTCAATTTGGTCGTAGGTGCCAACTTCCATCCCATTTGGACAAATATTAGACGTTTGGTGCACTATAAAAGGTAAATCGGACGAATTTATATATATTAGAGCTATATCCAAAAGCTATACCCGATCTCGATAAAATTTACCAATGGCATTTCTGAGCTGTATTTGATATATTTCCCCAAATATTGTTGTTACAGATTCAATATTACGGCTGCGGAGGACAAAAATAACAAATCGGATGAACAATATATATGGGAGCTATAGCTATATCTGAACCGATTTCGATCAAATTTGGCATACTTATTTTTAGGCCTAATTCAGATGTATATGCAAAATTCCATACTATTCGGGCTGATATTACACGTTTGGTGCACAATAAAAGGCAAATCGGACGAAGATATATATGGAAGCTATATCTAAATTTTGACCGATTATCTCCAATTTCAATAGGGTTCGTCCTTGGGCCAAATAAATGATTTGTGCAAAATTTCATCTGGATAGAGCAATAAATGCGAACTGTACTTTGTTAACAAAAATACATGGACAGACAGACGGACGGACATAAATCGACTCAGAATGTGATTCTATGCAGATCATCAAAAGGAACAATGGGTCTATCTCGTTTGCTTTTGCCTGTTACATACAAACGCACAAAGACATAATACCCTGACCACCTTGTGGTATACCCTCAGCCAATGTTCGATTATTTAAATATATTTTGACTTTTGTTATGATTATTCAAATTGTTGATCCTCTATGGAGTAGGTTCTGAAGGAATGGGCCAATATTGCCCAATTCGTATCGGACGTAAATAAATATGATATAAATATTGTGACGTGCCAGGTTTTGACTATATTGGTTACTTCCTTCACTTTATTGAGATATGTGATAATGTTTAGAAAACCAAAAAATATGGATGAGATACCAGATAAAGTCGACCGAACTATTGGTATGGGATGTACCACAAGCAGTGGACCTATATATCCCATCTGCACAGCAGATCTTGTGTTAGTAGAAATAATGGGATGTGTAAAATATGAAGAGAACCGGATTCTTATTTCACATTTTATAATCGTTTTTAATAGAAATATTGAGATGTGTGAAATTTTGCAGAGAATCTGATGCTTATTTCTCGTTTTACGAGCTTCATGGCTATTCCAAATTCTGACCCTTGGGTGGGGGAGGTACCAGAAGGAGTTGACCGATATATTCCATCTTCACACCAGACCTTGGGTTAATAAAAATATTATGATTTGTTTAATTTGGACAATCGGACTCTTACATCACATTTTATAAGAGTTATAGTTATTTTTTATATTTTGGCCTTTTTGGGGGAGGTACTTGATACAGTGGACCCATATTGTCCATTTCCGCACCTGGCCTAGCACTGTTCCAAATATTAGGATTTGCAAAGTTGAAGCAAAATCGGATTCTCTATCTATATTTTTCTGTGCAATAAAATATTTTAATATTTATATGAAAACATTGTTTAGCTTCACTGTTCTGAAATGATAAAATTATATAGGTATTAAAGAATAGTTTATGGAAGGGTATATAAATATAAATATAAATAGAATATGCGTGTATTGGTGTTTATACATTGGGGACCTCCCGAAATGTTGGAAATTTCCCCAAATTTGCTTTTTTAAAGAGGGAAATTACCAAACCTTTTAGTGACCTACCGACGTTCAAACGCCAATACACGAATAATCTTATTAATAAACTAATTTTTGAGTAATGGGATTTTTGGCTGGGTATAAGTTAGACTTCCTTTTTATATTATCGCACAAATGTTACTTTTTAATTTATATTTTGAAACCCTCATTTTAAATTTAAAATTCCCATTTGGAATAGTATTTCCTTCAGTATTCACTTTGGATTTTTTTCACCTCCGTATTAGCTTATGTACGTCATTATCCATTTGTTCTTATATGATTTACCACCGATAATAGTATTGTCAGCGTAACCTCAGTTAAGAATAGCTTCTCCAAAAAAGCTCCAATGAAATTCAGTGTCATAAAAACTTAGATGTCATCATTTCGTTTATTCATTCATTTTGCTCCAGTTCTGGTAATTCATGGATCGCCATCCAACATCCAAAATATTCGGACCAGATTGAAATGATAAGCCAAGTGCATACTTATTAAGGCATGCGTTTTGCATATGCGCTATCCAGACCCCCGGACAAATGAATGAAACTCGCTGAATTCTAGTGGGAGCGCTGTTCGAAGTATAAACAGTCGACATAGATCAAATACAAGCGAGCAGGCTTCGATCTTTTTAGAGCGGTAGAAAAATTCACTTCGAAATCGAGCAGATTTTACTCTTGCCGAGCACTATTTTAGTTTTAGCACAGATTTGCTAGTTTTCACTCGGGAGCGAATTTTGCTCTGGAGAAAGATTGCTCGAAAATGGGGAGTTTTTAGACGGAATCTACTCTTCGCTCTTTTATTTTAGAGGGGGTGTTACCGAGTACAGAAACTAAATGAGTGCCCGGCAAGAGTAGATTTGTAACGAATTTTGCTCCCAGGAACACTCCCGCTCGGATTCGAGTAAGTTTCACCATTCTGTCACTTTTTCTGAGGTCTTGTAAACCACGGCAACAAACCAAACATGTCGTTGTTGTTGTTGTAGCGGCTATACATGGTGTGTTTGTATTGTGCTAATCTGATTCTAACTCCAGGTCAACAACTCGGGTACTTAATCAGCTGTAACCAGAGGTTTTCTGGAGTGAGTGAGGAAGGTTTGGCCGGGCAACTGAAAAGGTGCAGCGTATCTTCGTCAATTAGTGCCTAAAACGAATTGAGACGAATCCTGAACGCAATTGCGCCAACACTACAGCGTAGTGTTTCTTTAGGCAGCCGACGTTCTTCAGCTGCAATGGATGGGGAATGGACTCCGAGAACGACATTCACGGTTGAACGACAATTGTTGATGGCATCTCTGACTGCCTCCGTATGAATGATAGGCTTCTTGATCTAGAGGCTCTCTCTCTCTTGTAACGTTGGACCTCCCTCTGTAGATCATGTATGTTCTTTCTGACACTCCTGGGTGGGGGAGTATTATCCACCATATGTTAGTTTGGATGACTTCGCGATAACACACTAGAAGATACTGCAACGAAAGCATATGGTTATGTTGACGTACGACAAGGACTTTCGCCTCATCATGTAGATGGTCCACTGTTGTCATGAGGAGGCGACCTGTCGCAGTTCTCAGGGCAGCCTTCTGGCAGGTCTGGATATTCTTCTACTTATATTCGCCACCACACTGAGGGCCCCCTCTTCTTTGATTGTTTGATGCAAATGTGTCATCGGTAAAAATTATGTGGGTTGGCATCTTTTATGGCATTTATACCCCTTTTTAGAAGACGGAGACTATCAATCAATTAGGCAAATGTTTATTATTTACTCACCCCTTTGCCATATCCAAGGTGTTTTGGAGCATTGAACACATTAAACGTACCAAATGTCTCCTTCGATCTTACGTGTTGAATTGGCTCCATATTCAGATATTCATATTCACAAAAAACAAAGCATACAACATGGCAATGTCCCACCATGTTCCATTTGCATAGCGAAGGTCTTAACTATCCGAAAATATTCAGTTAAATTTCAATTTTTGTTTTGAGAATAGATCTCCTTTCAAATACGGAACGAACTATTGATTGAACTTTTTGCAAAATGTTGACTTTAGATTTTTAACAAAAGTATATATATGCTTCTAAACCAGCTCCGCTTCTTCTTGTGGAATTGTCGTACAATTTCTTCTCTCCTTTATGGCAAATTAACGCACATCCATAAAAACAACAATGTCCTTTTTTACTTGGCAGCATTTCTGGGGTTTTTTATTTGACTTAATTGGGTAAAATTCTTTTTTATACTCTTAATTGGTATAAAACAACACTTGGCAATACAATGGAAAAATACATTTTTAATTTTATAATTTTTTTATATATTATAGTTAAAAATTTGCAATATATATTAACACTAATGTACAAGGTGGAAATACAAAGCTGCATTTATAGTATTATTTTAAAATAGGTAAAAAAATACGTGGAATGTCTTGTTAAAGAAATACTTTAGGAAAAAATCGATTGGCAAAAAATAAAAATAAAGGAATAATAAATAATTTAAATGTGGAAGGAGCAAAAATACTTTTTTTTATAGGAATCTTAGATTCAAAGCAGTTTGGACCACATTGTCAGGAAAGCTAAAAAATACCCACTCTAAAGTCTTGCTGCGAAAATGTTACGAAAGAAAACAAAATTAAGTGAGTTCTGTATCCCAAAACATATAGTGATGATAGACGTTGGAATCCTCCCACCACTTATCATCGAAAAGAAATGG